CTATTGAACTCAAATAATGAAAAGAAACAGAACCTGAGTATGCACGTCAACAAAACGTAAACTCAATTAAAAACGTAATACTAGATTTCACAAAAGAAAAAGAAAAGAAAAGTAACAACTTCCATGCCCAACTAGTGTGTATCTTAAATCGTCTCCAATTAGCCTACAATCAGCAAATGCTACATGACATTACACCGCTATTAACAAGGAACACAGCCTCCCAAACAACATTTAATGACGAGCAAAAAGAATAACATGTGATGCATTAAATAATCCACATTCTTCGTGCATGACACTGTCCATAGGCTTCTTCTTGGAATGATTTCTCTATGTCAGAGGACAAGCATCCTCTTGATTCCATGCACAAGTCAGAATCATTTAAATCTGACATCCATTGTCAGGAATCAACGCTTTATTCAAGGGATACTCGAATAAATCTGGAAAAGCAGCACCTTTCCAGCACGTTTCTTTTCCCAGACAAATCATATAAAATAAGCAGCGGCCATATGCCAAGGGAGAACTGAGGGCAGAGCTCCGGACCTGATCACCGGCCTCGAATTCCGGCTCGGTGGTGCGGTACTCGTGCATGATCCAGTTGGTGCGCACGCCGTTGGGAGCGCGGCCGCGATGGAAGACGAGGGTCTTCTTCATGCCGATGGGGGCGGCGGCGGCGGCTGCGGTGGCCTTGGACCGGATGACGCGGTCCTTCCCCGTCGCCTTCCAGTACCCAGCCTCGGTGGCCCGCTTGGACCGGAGCCCATTCGGGTACTTCCTGTCCCTGGGCGCAAAGAAGAACCACTCGGGATCGTCCGACTCGATCAAGGACTTACCTGCACACCACGAAACGCATCAAGTTCGAATCTTCAGAACAAATTCCAGTACCCGCGACCGAGTTGGAGCCAAAATCCGGCAGTACCTGGGAGATCCCAGGGTTCGCACTTGCAGACGTCGATCTCGGGGATGACATCGTCGTGGGGCTTGATCCGGCCAGTGTTCTTACCCCTGAGGTAGTGGCTGACGAGCTCCTCATCCGTGGGGTGGAAACGGAACCCCACCGGCAGCTTCCCCGGGCGAATCATCGGCTACCACCACCACAAGTCGAAGCTACGGAACCCTACCTCGAGCCGTCCAAATCCCCACCTGCTATCTACCACAACTAAATCCACCCAGGAGTGACGTCAATCGGAAATATCAAGAACCCTATAAGGATTCCGAAGCATTCGATCGCTATAAGAACATCTCCGCAACAAGCTTTGTGGCTTTGGGGCTTAATGAAGAAGAAGGATAAGAAAACACAAGAGGGGGAAGCTTCTCGCGGAAGACAAAGAGAAGACCGTACGGAGCGAGGAGAGAGAGGGAGAGAAAGAGGAGCGCGCGCATGACGTGTAAAAAGCCGCGTACCTCCGACGACAAAATTACGATGTGACACCGTATTTTGTCCTGTAACGGGATCGACGTGGGATGGGCCATTACGTAATTCCACCGACCATGTAAAACAGGTCCGCTTATTGAGCCCTATCGACCGTCCGACCCGGATCCAACGGTAGATGGGCCACTATAAGGTTCTTCCGACCACATTGACTTTGTTTGTGATCACGAGTCGGATCCTGTAAACGCCTTGGTGGGCTTTCGGTTCAGCCCAACAGTGGGCAAGACTGACGTATGGGGACTGCGGTCCCATGGCACGCACCGAAGGTTCCACCCTGTCTCCGATCCAATCAGCCTCAAAGAAAATATAAATCAATAAATAAAATAATAACTTGTGAGGTGGCAAAAGTGGTGATTAAAAAAGGGTTTTAATAAAATAATAAAAGGCGACTTTTCTTCTAATTAGACATTCCGCCAACTTTTGATATTATATTCATGTGCGCATGTAGGAGTGACGTGGAGAAGACGGCTCGATCGAGCGCTCGCGGAAAGCCAAGCGTGCGTCAGATTGCAGAGATACGCAGGAGAAAGAACAGCACGATTGGCACTGACTTGATGTCATTATTTGACCCAAAATATCGCAGATTTTGACATATTTAATTTTACAGTAACAACATTGTCATAATTGACCATCGAACTGACTACTACTTATCCCCGACGCTTGCATCTTTCTTTCTTTTAGCTATCTCAATCGACTCCTGCCATGTGCCTCCTTGTTTGGGTCCATCATGCCTATCTTGCTGCAGCTCTCACTGTGTCCTCTGTTGTCCTCTCATTCACGACGTCGTCTCTTTCCATCACGACACGTTATGAGATATGCACCTCGGTTGCGATGTGTCGGGATATCATATCCTTCTGCTCGGACGAGTTGGGCGGAATACTCTGGGCGTTGTTGAACACGTCATACGGATCGACGGCCGTCTTGGCGCGCACCAACCTGTCGTAGTTTGCCAGGAAGTACTTCTCGCCCCACGACCTCGCATCAGCCGTCCGATCGTTGAGATCGCCCATCCCGACCGTCCATCTGTTGGTCCCCAGATCCAGGTCCAAGTAGTTCACGTACGCCGCCCTCGGGCCCTTGGACACGTAATCCCCCATGTGGTTGTAGTACCCGCGGATCCACTCCAGGTGCTGCTCGCTGCTCGCCTCCTCCTCTGATGTCCACTCGATCATGTATTGGATCAAGTAATGATTCCCGCTCCGGTGTGGGAACGGTATATGATCGCTCCGGATCCTGGCCATGGCCCCGCCGTACGGGTCCATGATAAGGTACGCTTTCGGCTCCTGCGACAGCAAGTCGAAGGCTCGGGTGAGATTCGATTTGCTTATCGGGATCCGCACGAAGTCGGATTTGGCCTTGAAGGATTTCTTCCCGCGGAGGATCCGATCCTTGAGATCCGAAACCGTGCTCCCGTTGGGGAGTCCGGAGAAGAACAATACCGACTCGATCCAACTCGTCTCGTGGCAGTCCGTGTCGACGAGTCCTAACTCGGGGAAGGACCGTGCCATGATTGAGACCGCTTCCGATTTCGGGCCGAGGTAGAAGCCCTTGAAGGTGGCCGACATCGCGACGCGGTCCAGCTCGGGGAGCCCTGCGCCGACGAAGGCGGAAAGGTAGAACTCGTCGGGGAGGCTCGGCGCGACGAGCTGCCATTTGTGGACTAGCTCGGCGACCAGGCGGGTCGACCCGGGGCGGTTCACGATGAAGCCGGTGACCCGGGCGGGGATGGGCAGGAGCTGGATCCGCCAGGCGTAGACCGCCCCCCAACCGCCGCCGCCGCCGCCGCGGATCGCCCAGAAGATGTCCTCCCCCATCGACTCGCGGTCCATGACCCGGCCGTCCGCGTCGATCAGGACTGCGTCGACCACGTTGTCGGCCGCCAGTCCGTACTTCCTCGACAGCAACCCGAACCCACCGCCGGCTATGTGGCCACCACTGCCGACGGTGGGGCACGACCCAGCGGAGAAGGCCAGCGAGTCGCTCGACGCCGCGATGGCGTGGTACGTCTCGCCCAGTGTCGCTCCCGACTCGACCCACGCGGTCCGCGATTCTGGGTCGACACGGACCCGGTTCAGCCTCATGAGGTCGACGACCACAAACGGCGCTGCGACTCCGGAATCCTCGGAGTAGGACAACCCCTCGTAGCTGTGCCCGCCGCTGCGGATACGCACGCCGAATCCGGCGGCGCGGCAGCACAGGACGGTGCTCCGCAGGTGCGTGCGATTCCCGGGGAGGACGATAGCGGCCGGGCGCGCGAGACCGGGCCGCGGGGCGAAGCGGAGGTTTTGGATGGAGAAGTTGAGAAAGAGGTAGTACAAGGAGGTATCCGAGATCAACGGGTCGGCAGTCGGGACCGTGTAGTTGTCGACCCCGGCGGAGGCGAGACACAAGACGAGCTTCCGCACTCCGTCGAAGCCACTCGGAGCAACAGGGTACGAAGCGAAGGAGACAAAGAAGCAGCAGCAGGAGAGGAGGAGGAGGATGACATGGCGATAGCTCTCGGCCATGGCCGCTGTGCGTCAAGAGGGAGGAGGAGGTTTGGGATTTATATCGAAGGAGTCGATTAGCACGACGGGATGTTAACCGGCCTGTTTATTCCACTGATCACAGTAGTGCAAGCAGCGACAACATCAAGATCTGCATCGGACGGTTGATATCGGATGTACGGAGAAGATATACGTCGGGGTTCAGGTTAAGTATAACACCTGGCGGATCACCGAGGCTGAGCGAGGCCGGCAAGAAACCGGATAACGGGGGCGGGGGCCACGGAAAGGGCGGGGACTGCGTGGATGAGAGGGAGCATCGCAGCCGTCCGATCGAATAATCCAACGGTCGCATCCTACCTTTGGTGAAACCGACGAAGGCTGTACTGCTGGTGATGGTTGAATGAAAGAAAGGATTTGCGTTAAAGGTGGGGTGTATGGAATTTCTCTTACAATGATCTTTGATACATTAAGGAGGGGAGGGGGGCGTATCTGGAATTTCTCTGACATGATATTGATACATTGACAATGTTGGAAATGTATTAGGTACATTTGTAAGAAAGTATATATATATACATATATATATATATACATATATATATATATACACATATATATATATATACACATATATATATATACATATATATATATATATGTATGTATGTATATATATATATACAGAGGACGGGAGCCGGCCAAGCATTGCCAGCTTTTTCCTTGGAGGGAGTGCGGTGTGGTAGAGTTGGACTACATTGTGGGGTTTTATTAGTGTAGATAGAGACACCATCTTACATGCCATCTCTAGTGGATTTTTTTTAAGGAGCGGTCAGGTTGTCTTTTTATGAGGAATTTGAAAGGCTTGAGGCCGGATTTTGATTCACATGACAAGACCAAAGATAGTAAGTATATGTGATTTGATACGGTGAAGTAGAGCTATTTATAAGTCAAGTAAACTTCCATTCGTACCCCTCTAATAATTATCTAAAGATACTCTCTCGTTAACCCCTTCTAACCATTCACATATGCGCAGAATATAACTATAGATGGAAGAAGCAGATGAAATATCCGAACACCATCTCTCTGAGGTGACAAAATTTTCTTTCAATCATAAAGCACTTCGATTAGTTCCAATCATATCAAAACCAGGTCAGGTCAATCACTGAACATTTACAACTTGGATGGAGCTCCTGCATGTTCTTGCATTGCATAACATGAAAACAAGTCATAGCAGACAAGTCTCGAACCATTTCCAGAATCATATACCTGGAAAATCTCGCAAGAAAACTTATTTCCAGCTATTCAGCTAGAGGTTAGCAGCAGCCCTGGCCATCACATAGATAAAGGAAGCCTGATCATATGCATAGATTGTGTTTTGACTCCAACAGATACCAAGCAATGATAACGGGAACAGATTATGATTGAGCAGAAGTATCAGAATCAAGAAAACCATGACTACTGCTCAAAATCCTCTTACCTTCCAATGAGATCAGTCAATGTCCAGACTAGAATAGGGTTCATAGCCAACCTGCCAGTAAAGTGCAACATGAAGCTACTATCAGAATTAAAACAGTGGATTTGAACATGTTATAGTCTCTAGACAAGAATTGTTATGAAGCTAGAGAAAACAAGTGGACGTAAAGGGATAAATTGGAAGCAGTAAATGACATACAACCTTGTCTAATAATTAATTGAAGCCAAATGCAAGGGGAAGATTAGAGTAGCAGAAGGCAAGGGAAACAAAATTTAAACGCCATCAAATTGCCTGCTAAGTTGATTAGTAGACAATCTATCAGATCATGTAAAGTTGCTACTTACAGAGCAGTCATCATGAACACGCCAAATTGTCTCGCCTAAAAGGTTTGCCACTGAAAGAACAGTCAACTGAGGAAAATTTCTTTGTTCCAACACAGGGATAGTGTTGGTGACAATAACTTCCTGAAATAGACCACTAGATAGCCTTTCGATTGCAGGAGGGCTGCATGAATATTAAAATAATATAAAAATTCAACCAGAATAAACAAACTAAATGCTGAATAATAATGAAAGGATGAAGACTAAAAAATAATGATTAAAAGAGAGCCTACCATAAGAAATTACAAGAGAAGAGAAAAACAACTTTGTCAGAGACAATGTGACAGTAAATGTCAACAAACTGTGAAGTTCCATGACTCCACATCATATACTACCAATCTGTAGAATATAGACCACCGTAGGACCAATCAACTGGCTTCGGTTCCAATATATATCCTACATCTTATGAGGACTTTTTAATAACATAGCAAGGACCATATTCAAGGCCTGCCAATGCAGAATCAGGATAGGATCATTTCATGCAGTTTTACCCCAGTTTGTATCACTCAAAACATTAACACCCAGGTTGTAAAGAAGCAACCTCAGGATGGCACTGAGGCTCATGTACTTTACGTAGAAGGATTATTTCTGGCCCTGATCAGCAGGAGCATAAGAGTCAAACCAAAATTGCCACTAGCAAATACTTAAAATTTAATCTGCTCTTACCATGATTGTAAATACTATGTTTTCCTATAAAGAAATGACATTATTAGTTTTTATAATTAATCTGAAAATGATGGAACCTCTGTGACAAGCACAACAACACACAACAAGAGCTTCACATCAGCAATTTGAGATAAGTTTCATGGCCCATATTGCTTAGCTCTATAGGTTGTAGCATATTTGTTTTAAGTCATAGCATCTTGTCTCTGCCCTCATCATTTCTGACCAAGTTTTTATTGGCCTTAGAAACAAACATTACACCATATACCTCTCAAATGTCTGGAACTTTTGTATACCAGAAATAACCTTCCATGGGTTTGTTATACTGTGGGAACACTACCAGTGGACTAGGCGTGCTTATCAACTGTTTTCTTCTTTTACAGGAAGTAAACCACTTCTCCTTTTCCCTTTTCTAGTATTTTCACCAGATATACCCTTCCTTGGATTTGTTATATTGTGGAAACACTATCAGTGGACTAGGTGTGCTTATCAACCTTTCATTTCTAATTAAACCTCTTCTCCTTTTCCCTTCTCTATTTCAATTTGTTTGAATGGACCACGTGATATTTATCATCCAGATGTCATTCTCAAATGAACAGGCATAAAATTCTGACAAAATTTCCATGGTCTACAATGTGCTTCCATTCAAACCAAATGTTAATACAGAAGTTGGATGACATGTGATACTTCTCCAAATTCTTTGGAATGTTCCTTCAACTCTGCAACTCTTATCTCTTGTATTTACAAACCTGGCTGAACTACCATTATTGTCAAGGTAAGTGGTGCATAACTAATTTAAGAGGGAGACATCTAAGAATAATTGTCTTACAAATATCAACATTATTCTTCAAGTACTGCTCTCGGCAGTATTCTTCAAGAACAATTTCTGAATCTAAAAAATAGTGTTGCTCAAAGATAAGGATAGGAAGATACCTAAAAACAGCATGTGTGCTGCAAGCATAGACTTCTCTTGCTCCTTCTTGATGCAATAAAGCTGCACCCTTTGCTATGGTACCTAAATTCATTGAAGTACTAATTTGAACATCAACATATATTATAACAATCTGAATAAAATTAAAACTCAAAGAGCATCAAAGTGCAAGTACTGATAGTCATTAATGAGAGTGGCACAAACAAAAAATTAGCAGATAAAACTTGCAACAAACAACTGAAGTGGATATGTGAGACCCGCCATGTCAACTTGTTCCAAAAAGTCCATGATGCAATTTGCAGACCCAACAATAGACTTTCCAAGAACTAGATATCATATCAATGACAGCAGCAGCAGCAATGATGTTTCAAAACAATAAGAAATGGCTTACCGGCAGTATCTATCATATCATCCATCATCACAGCTACCTTTCCTTTAACATCACCAATCAAATTCATTACCTTCACAATAGCAACAACATATTTAATTAGCCAAATAAATACAATCATGAGGACAAGGTTCTGGAGTATCGATGCATGTGACAATTTAGGCATACAGCATATAAAGCCTCACCCTGAACCTCACAAACATATTCTTAACCGTATGATCCATCAAAATGTTTTGAGATAAAGTACAGCTGGGTCCGAACCTGATGCTAAACCATATGAATTGATCAGGCCCTAACTTGACTCCACTCCTATAAGCCCAAACATATACACTTGGGCAACTTCAAATCAAATATGATCTACTGTGTGGTTTGGGCTGAGTTGGCCAGGTCTGGTTTGAGGTCTGCAGGTTAGGTACTAGTTTGCAGCCCGATCTGAGGTATGGATTGGGCTAATCACCTCGCAATTCATTCTAATATCTGGACTGGGCTCTGGCCCAGATCAGACTTCCTGCAGTCTGGCTGCAAGCAGGTGCAGGCCAACCCCTGGTGAGCTGGCTTACAAGAGTCTGAACCTG